ACTGCCTTCCAGCTAACTTCATAGACCTTCACATTCTGTGATATCTGAAACCAAAATGCAAAGTAGACATTGGAGACAGCAAAAACAGTTCAACTTCAATGTTTCATCTATTTACAAAAATGGTTAGATTGTAAGATTATCGTTGAAATTGGTATTTGTGTGGCTTGGATATAAGACAGTGGAACTGATAATGTAGTGCCTCCACATAAACTTGAGTTCGCTCATATTTAATTTGATTAAGCCTTTCGATTAACTTATCTAAGTAACCAAGCAATTTGTATAGCAACAAGACATATGTACCATTGGTATTTTTTTATTGTCTGGTTTGTATGAGCTGGTATTGTGGTGCGCGCTACTTATAAGTAGTATATGACGTGAGTGTCAACGTAATGTCTGGCAGCAGAAGATGGGGAGAGATCAAGAAAGGAAGAGTTAGAACACAATGGAATTTGTATGAAATGCATGAATATTGACAATGGATTGACGTTTTGCAACAGGAACAGTCCAGTTCGATATGATGAACTGATATTTTGCAAATTAACGATTTACGATATGGTTTTCCAATTTTACTGAGTAACTCTGTAATTTTCGTTAAATACAATCCGGTTGCCCCACCTGTGTTCTCATTCACTACAGTATGACTGAAAATTGTTTACACCTACGCGCATATTCATCCTATTCGCTTTAATGATAATCTCTTAAATACCTCGATGACTCAGATATCTTCCTATGTATATATACGAACATTTTAATCTTATTAATTCATTCACGCATTCGCCCATTCGCATATTCACTCGCTAATGTGCCTGCCCGGTCTGCTTGTGGTCTGCTATCCCTCTTTGTGATGTACCAAAATAAACGTATTCAACACTTCGAGTTCACCTTCTGATTTATAAACCGTCAGACGTTATTTGGTAACGATTGTCTGGACGAGCTAATTACGAAGCTTAAGAACACGTCGAAATCGGCCACCACAATAGTAAATTTCTCAGTTGTTCATTCAGATTTTGGATCACTAAACAACTCCAAATTGTCAGCGTATTTGTGGGCTTTTTTCAGAGATTTTGATATGTTTTCAAAGAGTTAGCAGTATAACACGTAACAGTGACATTTACCATCAATAGTTTGCTGAAACACTGGGAAGCGATTCTACAGATTTAATAACATTTCAGTGAAGAGGCCAGTGGGCAGTTAAACATTGTAAAAAAAAGTACTTTATTCTGTCAGCAATCCTTATTGCATACCAAAGTGTAAAATAGTTTATCTATAAGGAATCAAGCTTTTCAACTTCTTACCAAACAATTCATTATTATTTGTACACTTGTACTAACAAGCCCGGGACAGTTTTGGTTGGAGAAAACTGGTGGGCGACCTATGCTCCATTGGAGGTAACAGGCGTAAGCAAGTAATTAACAAGCCTAAAAAATATAGAGAAGACAATTCTTGTTTATCTAAGTTGTTTTTAGAAAAAAGTAATCAGCGTTGATGGCTCAAGAATTTCAACTAAAAAAATCTACTCAAATCTAGGAACCATTTGCAGCTTGTTTCATTCTAGTGTTCTATTCTTCCACAGAGTACACTACACAAACACACTGGGACTAGAACTTGTACAATACTAACAAGCCCAAAAAAGAGAGCGGAGACAATTCTTCTTTATCTACGTTGTTTCTAGAAAAAAACGCTTCAATTATTAGCGTTGAAGGTCAAGGAGTTTTCTAGACGTAAACTTTATTTAAACTATACAACTACTAAAAACTAAGAATCATTCGCTGGTTGTTTAATTTTAGTGTTATAATCTTCCACAGAGCACACTACACAATCCCACTGGCACTAGATCTTGGGACCGTTGCGCTAGCCTAAATAAAGCACTATTAAATGTATGAATAGTCATTTAGTCTTTTCTCTAATCAACTCTATTCAAAATTCATGATAATTTTCCAACCTACATTCACTACAATCAGTGATGTTCAAATTACACATTCTCTCTCTCTATAAGACTAATATTTTATTTTCGTAAGTCACATTAATTATACCAAACTAAATCCCATCATTACATTTACAGCTTAGTGGAATTTCATTTTGAAAACTGGAGAAAAATAAATGTTTATATATGCATATATATATATACGCATCAAAATGTTCATTTATTATGCAAGACTTTTCTTAAACAACATTTCAAATAAAATCATTCATATCTTAGAGATAAAAAAAAAAAACCAAAATCTCTATTATTTCTTGTTTCAAGCAATAGAATGTAACAAACATTTTCTATTCATTGTAAGTCATTACACTTTCGAAAAAAATATCTTATATCTATCTACATTTGTAAGTCATATCATTGTTATTATTATTGTTACTGTTGTTAAATGATGATGATGATGTCCATTGTTTTTAAACAGAGTAGATAAACAAACAAACAAACAAACACGAGTAATATTTATTTACTTGTTTGTTACTCGTATTGAGGGAAATGAACAACAAACTTGTAAACAAAAATAGGCATCAAATGGTCAGTAAGATGAAACTATATATATATATATATATATATATATATATATATACACATTAATTTAAATCATCAAGTATCACAGAAGATAATTGTCTTTCTTGTGTGAATAAATAAACTAATATTGATTTATTGTTGATGAAATAATAATAATAATAATAATAATAATAATAATAATAATAATAATAATGATACTTATTATGATGGTGATGTTGTTGAGAAAATCGAGTGGTAATATTTATTCGTAAGGATCAATTTCAACAGGGAATGTTAGCGATTAGTAGATGAAAAATATTACGTTTTCGCTTACAATACTCACTTTCTTCTTCTAGTCTCTATACATGATAGATTGTACATATTTCCGTATTTGATGAAATCATATGGTGGTGTTACAAGTTAATTCAATGTATTTTCATTTATATCTAACATTCACCAGATCAGAGATGGAAGAAATACATGAAGTCACTAACAAGTGCACTGAGTCACGTTGGTAGGTGTCGACTACCTTGGTTGGGGTCCGCGATACGAAAGTCACCAATGGTTAAAGACCTTGAATGACATGGCTCAAAACCGTTTGCAATGGCGCAGATGCATCCACTCTTTGTGTTCTCTCAAATTGTAGCCTGCTGAATTTCTCATCATCAAAATATCTTTCTCTTCCTAAATTTATCTCACGGAATCATACTTCTGGAATTATATTTTTGAGCCCTGATCTTCTTCATTACCGCCAATACTCCTATTATCTCTACCACTATGGGATTTGGAATGACAGTTACGTCTCTGTGCTAAAGGGGTATGAGAACCTGAACTGATGTACTTATGTACGAAGTTCTATGTTGTATCTGTCTGTCTGTGGTGTACTCTACTTATGTTCACATAAGTAGTATATGATATCAAACGGAAATCAAACATCTGACAGCAAAAGATCGAGAAGGAAAGAATGAGAACAGAAGGCGATTTGTAGGTAACGTAAAGTGAACTGAAGTCTGAACAGTCTAAATGAAAGAACACTGAAATCTGAAACAAATAAGGATTAGTTTGCAAATGATGATTTCACGGGAAGGTTTTGTACATATGCTTAACAACTCTGTAATATTCGCTTAAATATAATTGTTAATGCCCTCATCTGAGTTCTCCAGCACAACACTATGTTGGGAACATTAGATCCCCAGAACTCACTTGGAAAAAGTCCGCGTCTTGGAATTTTTACGTTTCCGCGCATAAGTTGCTTAGTTGACCTTGAGATTACATTTCCAACTCGGAAAATCCTTGACTGTCATTGGTTGATGGATTATTTTAGTAAGCTATTTTTGTGGCTCTGCCAAGGACGTTTCTATCATGTATAAATAAGCTCGATTTCTGTGCTTGTCGACCTTGTATTTTCTGGGTGCTTGTAGAATACACTTTCTACACCTTATCAAGACTTCTTGATATAGTTAGCCTAGCTGAAGACAAATGAATTAGAGTAGCCTAACGTATCAGTGCATCGTTTTTTCTGCGCTCCATTTAACGAGTAAGGTGGACTCGTAATATCATTCAAGCATATCAACTAACAAGCATATCATCATACCAGCTGGATACTTACCCATATGAATGGTGAAAATATACGAATTCAATCATCTTGTCACCTAGTTTAAAAAAATATCCTCAATAAGTCAAGAGGAATGTCTGCTCAGAGTAAAAACAACCTAATAAGTTCTATAATTTAGAAAAGTTATCGTCTATAGTATTATTAAGGCAGTGAAACGTGTTTTAAACTCGTTTTAAACTCCACAGACGTAAAGAAAAACGTTAAATCTGTATATATGTGCACAAGAAAAAAAACTTTAATTTCATCTCAATGAACATGTTATTCTTAACATGCAATAACTCTGCTTAGATTGAATAATCGCTTTAGGTCATGAGTAAAAAATTTCGCGAATATTCCGTAAAAATAAATACAACACCAGTGAAAAAAAAGAAGATTCCAATTAGCTACCACAAGTTATAGAGTTTCTTAAAAAGTAGAGATTAAAAGAGATGACATTTTGAATAAATGATACACAGACACCTATAACTACACAAGTAGTTGACTTTCTTTGTTTCCACAATCTAATTCATCTTGAGTTGAATATTTCAATACATTGAACATTTAAAGTTTATACTTATGAGGTACTAAATGAAAAACCATACATAGATTTAAATTAACAATTATTTATCAAATACTTTTATCTGGATATTATTTTTTCGGTGTAGAAATATATTCTTCGCAGTATAAGTTTTATGTTAATTACACAACGTGTAGAATTGTGTTTGAACTTTTTCATAGCGTAATTTGATTGGTTAACATTTTTAACCAATCAAATAATTCCAAAAGTTATGACTACATCATTTCATTTTTATGATTAACGTCTTAAATTTTAATTCAATTTTTTCGCATCATTTACAAATGTATTAGTAGTAGGTTTCAAATAAAATTAAAAGATACACTTACATATATCCATAATAAAAGATTATGCTTGATGGAACTTTATGGATAGAATATAATAGTACATGTAGTGGAAATATAAGTTCAACTGGTATCACAAAATTTGTATATTCTTTACCAATATTAATATTAAGCATAATTGCTTTAATCTTAAATGGATTATGTATCTCGGTATTTTCAAGACAACATAGAAAATCGGTTATGCGAACAAGTTTGCTGGTTTTATCAGCAACGGAAGTACTTTTTCATTTTTTTGTTTGTATAGAATATACAACACAACTTATTTGTTCATCTAATCCACGAATGATTAAACCAACAGAATTTATTTTATTTGCTCTTATTAATTGGGGCTCTGATTGTTCTTTATGTACACGTAATTGGTGTAATGTGTTGATTACGTCGGCTCGTACAGAAGTAGTCGTATTCCAATACGTAAAAGACGTATACTTTCTCATTCAGCAATAAAATTCATTTATGGATTTCTATGGATTCTATCTGGATTTCTTGCTATTGTACGTGCATTTTATGATTATGCAATTATTTGTAACCCATTGAGTGATGATCAAATGAACAGTGCGATTGCACAACCGCATGAAACATTCTCACCGAATACAAATACAAATTTAGATTTCTCTAATGATTTTCATAAGAAAACAACCATTGTAACATATATTGACGCTTTACTAGATCAAAATATCATAATCAATTATGAAGCATATTGTTTTTTTATATTTCAAGTTATTGCGCAACATTGATTGTTTTAATCATGTCATTTATTATATCTTTCTATGTTTCACCATGGCGTGATACAAAAATCATTGAAGTCACAAATGTACGTAGACGACATCAAATGAAAGCAACTAGAACGATATTATTTTTAGCTATATCATTTTTATGCTTTCAAACACCTAGTTTTATTTTAGTAATTATACAACATTATACAAAATTGAAAATTGAATTTCAACTAGCTAAACTTGTTTCAGACTTGTTGCTTACATTTGATTCAATCATTAATATCATGATTTATGCTGTTGGTTTGCCAGGTTTTCGTGGTTATTTAAATCGTATGTTTATTTGTTTATGTCGATGGAATCACACGGATCATGATCATCATCATAATAATAATAATAATATGCATAGTAATCGATGTTTATTGAATTCCATTGCATTGGCACATTCAGAATTTCAACCAATCTCATGTATTAATAATAATAAAATAATAATAAAAATAATTTGAAAATTTCACAATTTAAATCAACGAATTCATTAAAATGGACTAATCATCATCATCATCATCCTCATCAACATCATCATCAAGGTTTGAATCGAAGTAAAAATTCACATTATTATTATTCATTTCATGGCAGTAAACCGCATCCACATTTAAATAATCGTGTAGATTGTAATGAACCTTTAAAACAACTCCAACCATGTGATGAAATAATGCCACAAAACAAATCAACTATAAATGATGATTTAACAAGTATTAGAGTTAAAGAGATTTGTGATGATATTTGACTATTTGAAGAAGAAGAAGGTGGAGAAGGATCAAAAAACTAATGAAAGATAAGATTTTTTTTTTCTCATTTAGGCAAGATACATTTAACTTGACTTGATGATTTTTGCAGATTGAAAAACACTGGTGTTAACTAGTCATTTGTTTTTTTGTGTGTTTTTTTCTCTCTCTTGTAAATAATGATATCAACATCTATCTAGTTTATTATCATTGTTATGGTTAATTTTATTTTAATTTTAAAAGAATATGAAAATGCAGATATATATTGAATTTAAAAAAACCATTTTTTTTAATTATTGGTATGAATTATTTTTAGTTAAGATGTTTGTGAAAGTTATTTGATAAATTCTAAAGCAAAATATAAAATAATCTTACACAAATGAATAAATTTTAACTGAGTCACAGTCAGAAAAAATATGTGTATTGAGGTTAGAAAAACATGTATTCTTCGAATGTGACTCGGTAAAGATGGAAGTACATTATAAAATTCCATACTAAACTACTGATGAGTTAGAAAACTAAGAAGAAGCTATGTGAACTGTTCTCCACAGCTAAAACTACGAACTGATCTAAGCTGAGAAGCAGGAAGCACTTGAAAACCATTTCGTACTTTTATGCGACTTCTCAGAAGTGTACATCTACGGACCAGCATGTAATAATCGAGCCTACGACCTCCGAAAACATTTCCTGTATGTTAGTAACTTTAAATATATATTAAAAAGATTCCCATTACGAAAATTAGAACAACACATATAAGCTAACAATATTGTTGTTTTCAATTAGATCGTCATCAGGTTTTACTCTAATATACAAATATTCATATATATTAGAGTAAAGCATGATGACGACCTAATCGAAAACAATATTATTCGCTTATATGTGTAGCTCTAACTTTAAATCTATGTCTTACTCGACATCTTAATTCCACTTTTCGGTCATTTCTTATATTTGAAAGAGTAATTTAACTCTCAAGTTGCATTTCATCGATCTGAACTGTATAGGACATGTATATTTCTCAAGCTTGTTTCGTAGTAACCTCGATTGAAAGACTCTAAAAGGTCTGTAGTGATGTTCGTGATTATTTTTCCTACATTAATTTTAAGCTTTTGTATTTTATAACTATATTTTATCTAATTAATTGTTCAGTGCAACGTCGATATATTCCCAACTTGTTAATCAATGTACAATTAACAAGTTTAGTTAGTAAGTATCTTAAATCAGAAAATAAGACTAAATGTTTGTCATAAATAATAAAACATTAGTCTTAGGTAAAATATGTTACATCTTCTTTCATATCTCAAACAACACAACCTCTTCTTCTCCAAATAAGATACCGCAGTGACGTTTTCGATAGGAAACGTAATCAAACATTTTCAGTACGTAAACATAATTAGTGTATGTGCGTTAAACCTTGACAAAAAATGTGTTTTAAAAATTTATCAATATGCAACTAATTCATATCTTGTTTACCAAAACATTTCCTCGCAAACATTTTTTTCAATTATACAGAAATTTCAATTTACTTGTAAACAAAGCTTCTGTTTATCACACAATTCTGAACACCGTAACAAAAAAAATAAAAAACCTTTCATCTTTATTACTATTAAGTGATCAGAAGAAACATATCCAACGAATTAGTAAATTATAAAAGTCAAAATTGTAAGAGAAAAATATACAAATGTATTATAATCATTCGTATATATATATATATATGAGAATAAATAATATTTTAAGGCATAAAATAAGAAAGATTGGCGCCAAACAGATATTCAAAAACCTTGTTATAATAAAAAATTATTTTTATTTTTCTAATTAAAAATCATGACATTTATATATGGAAATTTAATCTGTACTTCTTTTTTTTCTACATATATGCTTCTTCATTTTAATCAGGGAAAAAAAATAATCTATTCAAATACCTTCATACCAGGTACTTTATTTTTTTGTTAAATTTTGTGTCCTGATACAGATGTTATCAGTTTACTGAGAGAGAGAGAAAAAAAAAATTCAGTGGTTGTAACAGATTTTATCGATTTTATTTTTGTTGTTATAATAAGCAATGTATCAGGCGGTTTACTAGACATATATCTGCTGCATTTATTCGATTGCTTAGCTTAGTTGGTTGGAATGTCACTCTCTGTGTGTGTGATAGTGGCATCGTATGAAAAGTTACTCAATGAAATCTTTTTTTTCCTGCCTGTTAAGTACTATACAGATAATGATACTTCAATGTGTTACTTATTTGTCTATAATATGAGTATGAATATAAATACTGTTAGATAAAAAAACAGAACTATTTTTTTTTTAAATTTGCTTGATATTCGTTGGATAAAAGAATTTTTAAACATTGAAAAATTATGTATCCTGTAGTAAAATAGTCGTAACATTATTTAGTTTATGTTAAAGTTAAGATTATTCAAGAGGATTTTTCATTTACTTAATTACGCTTATTACTCCCAGTGGAGCAAAGGCCGCCTCTAATGGACTCTCTCTTGGGCCTTCTTTTTCAGTTGTACACAATTGGTGTTTATTCTTATCATATCTGTCTTCATTTTTCGGCGTAATGTGTTCGTTGGCCTTGATGATTCCAGGTGAGAGTTTGTCTTGTGATGCAACTAGGTGATTTCCTCAGTGTGTGTCCTATCCACCTCGAGTGCTTCTTCCTATTTACTTCCTCTGATGGAATATGGTTTGTTCTCTCCCATTGTAGGTTATTTCTGATGACATCTGGACAATTCCACTTGCACCTCTTAGATGATTACTTCCGGTCTCAAGTCCGGAAAAAGGATAAGGATTAGGCATAAGGTTAGCGACCCCTAAATGTAACATATTAACTCTCTGATGAAACGCTAACCAGAAAAAATAATTCTATAGGATAATGTTGATTAAAAATTATGGAATCAATTGGACATCAGAGTTAGATTTAATACAAAGGAATAATTTGATAAGTGTATGACAATACTGACAAAAAGAACTTGGTGTCTATTAGATTATTACACTGTGAAGGGAATTAAAATGATACCATTTAAATAGGTTGTTAATAAGGAAAAACAACCCTATTAATGCTTAATAAAAGAAAAATCCACATCTATTTTCAATATTCAATTGTGTGAAATTTTTTCCGACATTTTTTAAGTCAGTTTTTTTCAGAGAATAAATTCTTGTTTAATGATTGTTTTTATTTGATGATTTATTATAATGAAAAAAGTACTGTCATTTATATATTTAGACGATGGAATATGATGTTGAGCAGACATAAATATGTATAATTATTAATATAACTAATAAGTCTAACATGTTTATGGTGGTGTTTGGTTCTCTGAACTGGATGTTGTTTTGGTTGTGGAGCTTTCGTTGTTCATCTGCTGAACAACATCATCAGTACAAACTTCTGATAGAAGTGAAGCATTCGAATTTCTTCACGTTTGACCTGTAACTTGTTCTGCTAACCTCGGTCAACAGGTCAAGATCAACCAATCAAGATCGAGGTTAACAGAACAAGCTACAGGTAAAACGTGGAGAAATTCGAATACTTTACTTCTCTCTGAAGTTTGTGCTGATGATGCTGTTCGGAAGAAGAACAATGAAAGCTCCACAACCAAAACATCGTCCAGCTCAGAAAACGAAACACCACCACAATCATCCACCTGAGCTACAAATTTTCTCCACCATCTCTAACATGTTTACACACAGAGTTGAACGAATTTGAGAGAATATACATTCTAAAAACATTTCATGCACTTGCTTCTTCTATAAGATTGGAATAACTCAAGAATGATAACATTGGCGGAATACGATGAACTTATTGTATTTTGATGATGTGTTCTTCAAGTATATTTAAGCTAATGTGTTTAACTATTCCCCAAGTATTAACATAATGTTAGAAATTAATTACCAATCAATAACGAATAAGTTCTGTGTCATGGGGAAGAAGTTCGGAATTTAAAGTTTTACAAAACGGTGATTTATTTCACCGTGATGGCTTGATGTAACGAAATTTTAGAGGGATAAGTATACATGTAAGTCCAACTCACCAAATTCTTACTAGAATTTGTAGAGAAAGAGGTCAAGGTCGTTGAAGATTTACTATTAACTCTTTTGGAAAATAAATGGTAGATCAAGCACTTCCAATTGTTTGAGCTTCTGAGAGTTTCTATAACGTGGCACTGGACTGTTTATTGAGTGGAGTAATTAAATCCTTCAAGGTGCAGGGGTCATGGATGTACACTGCTGATGAGTCCCATACCTGGACCAAACGGCCGTCTTTCAGTGCTTCCAGGATTCTAGTGGTGGTCTAACAATGATTAATTGATGATTTCAAAGTTTAAAAACACCAATCTCCATAACTCTAATTGAAAAAATCGCAAAATGTGCTCACCAGTGACTAGGTTAGTGGGGAAATTCTCGAAATTCTAGTTAGAATACATGACTAGTGGAGTTCACACCTGTCAGATGTAGCCAGTAACTCACCGAAGATAAATGAGTAAGGTTTCACAAAATCATTAGATTGATCAAAGTTGGAAATTTACACCGTTGAATGCCAGCCCAGTGGTTCAGATGTTAGGCGTCCGCTCGTAAAACCGAAGGTCCTGAGTTTGAATCTTTCAAGGTGCAGGAGTCGCGGGTGATTCCCATACCAGGATAAAACGGCCGTCAAGTGCTTTCAGATTTCTAGTGGTGGTCTAATAATGATTTATTGATGCTTTCAATGTGTTCCAAATGTATAGCAGGTGGAATGTTAATGGATTATGTAAGCAGCTTTCTCATGAAAATTGTAGGTTTTTTTGGAAAATACTTTCTAAAAATGAATAAATGATTCTCCTTCTCTCTTTTCAAAATATATGTACTTCAGTGTATTCAACTGAACGTGAGATTCGACTGATGTTTACTTACTACTGCTTATGCTATTGGGCGTAGTGTGGTGGATTGTGGAATAAACCTCATGGTGGAGAATCTTGTTACCTGCTCTAGTCGATCTGGTGAACTTAGCTTCCCAACACTG